ACCTGATAAAGGTTCGGGCGCCATTAAAAAAAAACATGTTTAATTATGTTAAGATGGACGCTTAGCTTGTTGATCTCCTTCCATGTTTTAAACGTTAGGTAGAAAAAATATTTGAATAAAGCTATGAAATGTCTGTTTGTTAGGCATTTGAGGTCATTAAAAGATGGAAATCTGTACACAACCCATTTTCAGAAAGTTTTCACGTAATGCTTGCAAGACTAGAATGAATACCTCATAAATACCGTACAATGATATTTCTTTCTTTTATATTAAAATCAAGGCCAAGTTAGTTCTGTGAACCTACTACAGAACGATGTAAGTAGAATGACCTTCTGTCTTGTTTCTAAATCTGAATTTCCTGTTATAATAATGATACTTTTTTGTCTCTTAACCGGCTTCGTTGTCTTCCTTGTGAAATTCAGCGCGTCTTGTCAGTCGGTTGTTCAGTGTATGCTCTCCCCTTTTCTACTCGTTAGGCCACTTCTCATACTCCAATCAACTTTGTGTAAATTAGTGTCTGAGGTGTTATAACTTCAGCATCAGCATGGACCCTATATTTAATCAATACAACCCACGTGAGGCATTCTTTACATTCAAAGTCAGTGCACACACGTTACCAAGAAGCCTTCCCTCCGGGTCCATGCACTGCTTTTTTTGAGGGTGGCGCAGTGGTTAGGACTCTCGCCGACCATACACATGGTCCGGGGTTCGATCCCCTGCCGGCGCACACGCAATATCTATGGTCGGCCTGAATTTGGGCTACCGATATCCATGCTGAAAGTTCCATACTTGTACTGAAAATACGGTGTGGAATCAAGCTGTAAATCAAAATAAAAAAATATGAACTCTAGTAGTTTCGTATGCGGCGGGTACTAACCTGCTTCCTGCTGCAGGATCACTACCGCAACATAGTGTTGACGCTGAGAAGAATTTTCGGATGCTAATACTGCTAAGAACAACTGGGATATTTTAGACCATTTTTTCACCAACTAAGAGTTCGAAGTTCTTTTCTTTGAAGTCTGCAGATGAAGGATCATGTTTTAATACCCACAGTCAATGCCATTGTGATCCACCAGCACCTAGTAGGCATACGACACGTTCCAAAATACGTCTCAGACCACATATCCTCTGAGGAAGATGATATTGTTGCAAGAAGCTTTGGTCAGAATTGCCAGTCGACCTAACCACAACGGGAGAAGAATATCAGATTAGCCAGTTTTAGGGTGTCATAGCTTACCCAATACTCGAATTCCCACAGCCTCGTTTGCTGATTTCGTTAAGTAGCTTCAAATCTCAGTCCTTGTCTTTCACAAATACTGGGGACCTCTGCAAAGTAGAACGCACTCCTTACCGCCACTGACTAACTTGACTGTGCACGTCTGTAAACAACCAATCCTGACTTACTGAATACTTATGAACACCAGGCATAAAGAAGGGTAGACCCTTTAGTCAACGGATACGGGACATGCCGTTAATATCACGTTGTATTTGTGTCCATGCGGACCATACATGTTTGGTTAACAACACCCGATATCTTTAGCAGAACTAGCCAAAGTTCTTTACCTTAGTGTACTAGGACGAAAATCGTAGTATATTTTGATAGAAGGTATCAGGAACTTGGGCATGATGGCACCAGCAAGGCAAAGGCTGCAATTCGGCATTTTTGATGATCACTGTTAAAGAGAATTGTGTTCCTGTCTAATCGCCACCCTATAAACCATGCGCACCAGTGATCCCGATGCTAACGACAGGACCACAGCAACATGTCAGAACTGACGTTGTGAGGCCGTTATCAGCGACAAACACTGACGAACGATTTGTTCTCGCCATGGTTAAACTAAGTCGTGCCAGGCAGTACCAATGCTGTAACAAGCTGTGATTACTGTGCTGGAAGCATCCCTCACTACAGTGATAGGACGACATGGAACCCCAGTTAACTTACGCTCTGGATAGTGGACAGTACCTTCAAATAGATTGGTAGCCCATGTTTGCTCTGTATTCGGAATTCGGAAGGCGCATTACACCGTACCATCCACAAGAGAATGGCTCTGTAAGGAGTAAAAGTAATACTGTCGAAGCAATGCTTCAAGCTTTCATCAGTCGCACACTAACCCATTAATAGGATAAAGATCCACCCGAATGCTGACTCGACCACCGGTTATCTAAGAATCCTGAGACTTGTTTTCGATCATCAGTTACACTTAGCATGTAAAATTTAAACAAAATGTCTTCCATACGAAACTGTGTACTACACTTCATACGTACGGAAGCTTCGAAAGCGTTTAGCAGACGCATATTGAATAGTCTGAGAGTAATCATTCGAAGGTACGCCATGATCAACTAGTCTACCGCGGCACATATGTACCGGGGAAACGCGTTTGTTAAAATCGACCACACATTATGTGGAGACAGTCTAACAATGTGTCTTTCGCATGACCGGGACCTTACGAGGTCATCTGCAATTTTCTCCCGTCATCGATTTAAACCCGAAGCGACCAAAACAGCTAATAAAAGTGAACGATAATCAGTTGAGGCCAGTGCATTACCCGTCTCCGTAAACCTTTAACATGCCACCTGCGGCTGCTGAATGTAATGTTCCAACATTTGGAGGACTAGTTTATCCAGCTCCGCGGAGGGACAGTGACGAAATCACAATGATGAGTTTGTCTTGTGAACACTTCCATAAAGCAGTTCGAGGATATTTGCTTGGTCCTGCACCTGGATCACTATTGTTTAATCCTACCAGACAAAGTATCATTTAGCACGAGAATGAATCCATGTCGCTATCAACTAACTCAGTGCGCGCTTCTTGAATAAGACGTGCTTTTTCCCCTCCAACTGGAAACTGTCTGTTTTGTGGATTATCCACCTGGAAAACCTGACTTTTCTAACCGGTGAATGAAATTCCACCATTACTTCCATATCATCAAATCTCTGTGTGGTAAGTCCAGCTGTCTCGAACTACTGCCAAAGCTTCGGGTGCTGCATCTCCATCCTCCTCACTCTTTCAGATTAACAAGCGTTGTTCGTCTATCATGTGGCTGCTGTGAATCCGAGTAGCCAAAAAGTACTAGGCTCAATCGAAAAGCCTTTATTTTCCGTATCTTGTACTTTACCAGTCTTATTCTTGTTCTTATGGGTAGATACTGTTGCTCTCTTATTCCCATATATAGCACACGTTATAGTGATTCTTAATATGGCGGTTGAAAGTAGTCTTAGAAAAAGCATTGTAGTAACAACGGCCTCAGTCAGAGAAGGCAGTAACCTAGTGACATCAACTCTATCTCACATACTGATTCTAAAGACCCGTTCACATCTCACATGTTCTTATGCTACGCTTACATTGCCACAGTCTAGCACTGTGAAGGCACGGGCAAAACCAAGCGGATATAGCACTACACCTGTATCCCACTAGCCTGTGGATGGCTGAAACATTCAGTTTAGCCTTCGTCAAACAGTCAAACAGCAATGTGGGTATAACCAGGATGGTCCAAGATGATAACACTACTATTTCACTGAGGAAACACCAGTGGCTACCCTCCAATAACCCCGGTAATAGTACATGGGAAGCTGCAGAGACTCACATCTGGAAAATCCCCAGGTTGGGATGACATTGGGCCACCTGTTCCGAAAAGGTGCCCCGAAAGTCACTCCCTTATGCGACTTGTTCCAACACTCGATGGATTCAGGGAAACTGAGGGGGAAGTGGAAGAGATCCATCCTTTCTCCGACCCTCAAGTGTGGGAGTAGGCAAAATGCCGCCAGTTATGGACCAGTAGACCTACTCCCAGTGGTATCAAAAATACTGGAGAGTATTATTGATGATCACATCAGGAAGCACCTCGATAGGACTGATAGACTCCACGAAGCCCAGCACGGCTTCAGGAAAGGCAGATCCTGTGTACCAAACATTCTGTCAGCTTGGGACGATTGAACATCCTCTGGGATATCAATATTCCAATCCATGTGGTCTTCTTAGACTTTGAGAAGTCATTCGACGCAGTTCACCAAGACCTTCGCCTAATCAAAATAAGTCAGGCAGGTATAGGTGGGAAGCTTTTGCCGTGGTTGAAGGACTACCTAGCCGAAAGGGAATTCTGTACTAAGGTTACTCGAGTCCGAACATCCTGGTCCAGCTCGTCATCAGGAGTGTCGCAAGGCTCTATCCTAGGGCCACTGATGTTTTTATTTCTTTAAATAACCTTTCACGCCGTCTTAGCTGTCAAACTCTTCTTTACACTGACGAAGTAAAGATATGGAGGGTGATAAAGTGCCTGGAGGGCTCAGATAGGCTACAGGAAGATCTAAAGCTTTCGGAAGACTGGGCGGTGGCCAGTGGCATGACTTTCAACCTGAAAAAGTGCAAAGTAGTGAAATCCCACACTTGTAGATTTCAGAATGCGAATTAAACCCTGTGCAACGGAAGCTTGTCCTGTACAATGTTGGAGCGTGACTTAGGTCTAGTTCTAACGGAAAAATTGACATAAGCGTGAATTATGCTGGAGATGCTGCAAGAGATTATGCGGTCAAATACTTTACGTTAGACCAAACCTTGAAGTGAGCAATATCATTGCATCCTTACTGCTTAGAAGAGACGAAACGTTTTGGAAAGTGTCTAATTTTAATTGGCTGTCTGTTTTTTACGTTTTCTGTATTTCATTTTTTGACTTTTAGTTTGAATAACCTACACTAATTATATCTGTTGTTATTATTACCATCTCTTTTTCTTTGACAGTGACATCGGTGGACTAACTGGTGAAAGGATCAACTTCATTCACAGTAGTTACAAGGTTTAACACACCGCGTACTACAAACAACATATAATTAATCCCCGCTACCACAATCGAGTGGTGGGACGAACTACACAGAAGCTTATCAAGGACCAGGAACCTTCATCTCACAAACAGGAAGCGAGCACAAAGAAACAGAATTGGTTTATATCAGCTTGTAAAAATAATATTGGATATTGGATCCTTAACGCCCTTGTGATTTCAATAGCGCAGTATTAAAATGATGCGTTACTGCCTAACGAATTGTCATTTTTGTGTTGGTTTGGTTTTATAGATTGGTTCCCTGTCTCTCTTCACAGTTGCTGTAACAAATATTATCATATGGTATTCTAAATGTTACGTATATTATGTATGATATCGTTTTATGTGTAGATGTGTCATATTTCATCAAAATCAGAAAACGATATGACGTTACAAAGTCCATTACTTTTTGGAGACAAGCATACTAGTCCGGTACGTTTTAAGTGTCACAACTCAAAAAAATCTACCAAATGTTGTTGTACAATCATTCAGAATAGTCTCGTTATAACAATACATTTACACATGCCTGTGTAATTAAAGACGTCCCAGCTAGCAACGATTTCGGGCGCAATGCAGATTGGTTGGGGCAGGCTTAGGGGCATTGTCCTATGTATTTCTATGCGCCCGAAGTTTTTTGCGCTCGAAAATACTGCTAGGTTGGGTGTAAGACGAATAAATAAATAAGAATGTATTTAATCAGCTTAACATTAGCGATAGAATTAAGCTTAATGTTATCGCCAACTTTTCCATTAAAACTAACCGTAATGAATACCTAACTCTAGCCTAATCCCAAACCCAAATGCCAAACATAACTTTAAGTGAAATAAACCAGGATAAATCCGCGGGTTATTTCATGAATAGGGTGAATAGACATGATGCAGAATGTGATGCAATCGTACTGGTTGTGAAGGGTTACTTGGTCGGCCGCTTGTTTGGGTGGAATAGTTTGTTTTCGTACCGATTCGCGGAATGTTATCTGCATACATGGAAGATTTAAGGCACGAAAAATAAAATTTCAATTCACCCAGTTATGCTTGTATATTTACTGAAATTATGTGATGTATCACTAGAACTGGGGTTGCATATGCTGATATTAGGAATGAAGGTCTTCGTTGAGAAAACATTGAGTGGTACAAATACATGTACCAGATGTCAATAATCTTGTTTTATTGTCTAAATTTGTTCTCGTACTTGTGTGAATAAGTGTATGTTTTACCTTTTTAGTGCTTTCCGGTGTTTCAGATACTATGCTAGTTGACCGTGTTTGATGGTGATAAACATCACTTGTTCAAAACTTAAAGTTACTTACTTGTGATAAAGTGAGGACTATGGAGGAGGAGTTCAATGCCACCATGAAGAAGTATGAAACTGTCTTGGAATGTGTGGATCAGAAACTCGCATCGATAATTGCTGCCGATCGATTTCTTAATGATCTCATTCCAAAGTCAAAAGAGCTAGAAAATGATGTCTTACACCTACCATCAAACAAAGATGTTATGAACACCATTGAAATTCATTTTGGACGTGTAAGTTCAGCTGTTGTTGCAATTTAATTGTTGTTTTTTGGTTATTAATGAAATTTAAAAATATCTCCTTACCGGTATGTTTGTTTAGGAAAGAAATTACATGCGGAGTATTCAATCCCCAGCACAATAGATTCCAATATCCAATATCCTGATTACGAGCTAGTATAAACCAGTGATTTCTTTGAGCTCGCTTCTTGATTTTAAGGTAGAGGTTCCAGATCTTCGGTGAACTTATGCGTAGTAAATCCCGCCACTCGACTGCTTTAGCTCTGGTAGACTCCAGGAGGAGTGATGCGAGGATTGGTCAAGATTGTGGTTTGTAGTGTGCAGTATGTTAGGACTCAGCTGCTGCCGTGAATGGAGTTTGACCTAACACCCGTTGGTCATTCGGTATAGTCATAAAAGTAGAGTAATAATAATAATGATAATGATAATAATAGGTTGTAGTGTAGATAATATAGGTTGAGATAAGTGAAATAATAAAGAAAGAAAGGAAAGAAAAGATAGAGTAGTCGGTACAGTGGGAGAAGACAGGACGGGTCGTGGGGATTTAGCTTGTATGCTTATCCATTGACAATGTGGTTTCAAATTTTAAGAGGGTAAGCCATTGAGACACAAACCATGCATTTCTGCATGATTGTCCAGCTTCCGCTTAAAAATCTCCACAGATGGAGCTGTAGTTACGGCCGCCGGTAAAGCGTTCCAGAGACGGCAAACTCGAAGCGAGAAGAAATGTGAACGCACTCGAGTCCTTGGTCTCTGGTGTGCTATCCTTAGCGGGTTACCTCGTGGAAGCCTATAATCACTTAATGGCAGGATGCTCTTATCAGGATGGGCCTGGTCATTTAGGATCTTATAGACGGTGATGAGGTCTCCCCTGTGACTACGGTAACTAAGTGTGAAAAGACTTAATTTCTTCAGTCTCTCCTCATATGATTTGTTGCGGAGGCCGATCACCCATTTTGTCGCTCGTCTCTGGACACTTTCTAGCATGTTAGCATCCCTTTTGAGTAGCGGAGGAGCAATGATATTATGCACCTCAAGGAGTGGCCTCACGTATGTCGTATACAACGTTAGGAATAGTTCAGGAGTAAGAGCTCCCAGTTGCCTATGCATAAAGTGTAAAGTGCCGTAAGCTTTGGCGACGTCCCTCGTGTAATTTACACTGGTGTCTAGCTTTTCTGTTAAAATAAGGCCTAGATCGCGTTCTGATGGCACACAACTCAAGTTCTGGCCACCAAGGGTGTAATTTGCACTCTGTGACCTGCCGGAATGAAGTTGCACTACTTTGCACTTCTTTAAGTTGAAAGGCATTCCGTTAGCCAGAGCCCAGTCCCCCAGCGTTTGCAGGTCAGCCTGCAATCTGTCGGAGTCTTCCGATGAGTTTATTGCTCTCCAAATCTTTACGTCGTCAGCGTAAAGAAGCGCAGAGCAATTCAGTTGACAGGGCAGGTCATTGATAAAAATCAAAAACATCAACGGCCCTAAGATAGAACCCTGAGGAACCCCTGATGCCGAGGTGTGCCAGGATGATCGGATGCGGTTGACTTTGGTGCAGAATTCTCTCTCGCCTAAATAATCTTCCAGCCATGCGAGAAGTGCTCCAGAAACACCCGCTTTGCTTATTTTGTGAAGGAGCAGACCATGGTGAACTGTGTCGAATGCTTTCGCAAAGTCGAGAAAGATCACATGGACTGGTACCTTTACATCCCAGGATAGTGTCCAATCGTTCCAAGCTAGTAGAAGATTCGTCACACAGGATCTTCCCTTCCTGAAACCATGCTGTGCTTCATGGAGTAGGTTAGTCCCGTCGAAGTATTTTCTCATGTGGTCGTCAATGAGACTTTCCAATATCTTCGATATCACTGGGAGTAGCGCAACTGGTCTGTAACTGGTCGCGTTCTGCCGGTCACCACCCTTGAAGATAGGGGATAGGATGGCTCGTTTCCATTCACATGGAAGTTTCCCTACATCAAAGGAGTGTTGAAACAGATCACTTAGGGGTTGGCAGAGACTTTCTGAACACTGCTTCAGGACGGATGGTCTTATGTCGTCGCAACCTGCAGACTTTCCCGAAGCCAACTTTCCCAATTTTATGAGTACCATAGCCGGGGTAATTTGAAATGTACCCAGCAGGTTTTCGCACGTTGGTCTTGCATTGTAATCTTGATGTTTTGTGAGGGTAAAATCCTCGTTACTGTTCAGTTGCCTGTGAAAGGCTAGACTGAATGTCTCTGCCATTTCAAGACTAGTAAGAGATTTCCCATCAGAACCCACTATATTGCAAGCTCCCTGGTTGGTCGGTTTTCTTTCAGACATAAACCTGTATAGGCTTTTGGGGTTCACGAGAAGCTTATTGGCGAGGTTTCTCTGAAATGTCCTTCTATCACTCCGGACTCGTATGTTACACCGATTCCTGAGTTCGAGGTACTCTTCATGTTCGGGTTGACTCTGCGATACTCGCCACGCAAACCAGGCTTTTCGCTTCGCCTGTAGAAGGCGTTGTGTCCCCCTTTTTAGCCATGAACGTTGCTTTCTAGCTTTAGGTGTGACCAAAGGAACAGTGTCTGAGATCGCCTGGTGAATGATCTCCTTTACCACTCTCCAGTGTTCTTCTACTGTAAGCTCTGTCCAATTTTTTGGCCAATTTGCTTCAGACAAAAGTCTTCGCATTTCGGTGTAATTGGCTTTGTTATAACACAGATAGGGCTGTGTATTGTCCCACTGTAAACGCTCGCGGAGGACTATGTCGAATGTTATGACCGCATGGTCACTACTACCTATGGGAGTCGTGATCTGAACGTTTTCCACTAGTAGCTGGTCACTAGTGAGCACGTAATCCAGTCTAGAAGACTTCCCATCTGGGCCCCATCTAGTATCCATTCTGACATTTTCGGTGAATCCGGCCTCCGTGATGGTATGCAGCAGATTTCGATCAAATCTGTCCTGGGCACATCCCGTCATCAAGTTAAGAGATGGGGCATTGAAGTCTCCAGCTATGACAATTTGATCATAACCCATGTCATGTGTCGCTGAAATTGCATTCAGCAGTACCTGGTTGTGGTCTGCTCCACATGAAGGTGATCTGTAAATGCTGCCCACTAGATACTTACAGTACCCAACGGTGAAATGGCACCATATGGAGTCAGGGAGCTCAATGAGGGGAGGGTCGATTGCATGGACACATCTGAGCTGTTTGTCGACGTATATGGCGACTCCACCTCCTTCTTTCAGATCCCTATCTCGCCTGACAAGGACCATATCATTTATACTGACTTCGCTGTCTGCCACCGTAGGGGTTAGCCAGGTTTCCGTCAGTATTATGATTTTGGAGTTCAGCTGTGATTGTAGGTATCTAAGTTCAGCTATTTTGCCTCTTAGACCTCTCACATTACTGTACAGGCAACTGGTAGTCAGTCTCACCACGTCCCCGTATTGGGGGGTGGTTGACGTGATGTGGGCTGTCGGTTGAGGAGTTATCCTACGAACTAGTTGGCCGATTCCCCGGGAACCGGCCTGTTGGAGTTTTTTTCTTCTGATTCAATCGGAGCACTTGGATGGCACTGGCTATCATCGTCCGTGCTGCACCGCTGTATTGTGACTAGGGGTTGGGGATGTTCTATGACAACGTTTTGCTCTCTCCTTTGGGTACGAGGCCGGCTCTCGCAGCAGCGAATGTGTCTGCTGACCTTGTCTTTGGTCTCGTACCATCTCTGGAGAGCAGTAGTCAAGTGGTCTCGGGAGCTAAACTTAACAGCTAACAGACGTGGGGTGTTAATTGACATTAGGTGAGTGGGTCGAGGCAGTCTAAAAATAGAGACAGCCCCTGAACTTCCCAGACCCATCTGGGATGCCAACCATCTCCATTGCTGGACATCGTGACAGTGCTTCTCACAAGCGTTCCCAGTTTCCAGTTCAGGAATGCCGTGAACAACCATGGAGGCAGAAGGAATAAGCTCTGGCGACTCCCTCGCCATCTGTCTTTCCTTCCATGGCCTATCTGGCCTAACACGTATATTGCAGGTCCTCCCTATAGAAAGGACTTGGGAAGTCAATAAAACTTTTTCGGCATCTTCGGCAGAGCCTAGTGTTACCCTCAGTGGGGATGGTTTGCCTTGAGGAGCAGCAGTGCCCTTATACAATCTGCACAGTTTTACTGGTTGGATGTCCAGACCCAGTGTGCTACATAAGTTGGACCACTGTTCCTGATCAAACAGGGCCCTGTTTTCCAGCAGACTACTGCTACAGTCTGGTACATTAAAGAGGATAACGCAGTTTGATCGACTGACCGTGGATTTAGGTTCGGTCCTCGCACATTTGTCATCCCCCTTAAGACCGTTTTGTTTCATCTGGTGCAACTGGGTATTATTATGTGTCGCAGTGCTGTGGCCACTTTTACTGGTGGACGGTAAGGGTCTTTTCCCGGCGACAGGTACCCTTGGTGCTTCAACCTCTGTGTCTGGGGCAGTTATGGCAGGAATTGCAAGTATAACCGGTGTGGATTTTGGTATCCCCGATTTACATGCAATTGTGCTGTTTTCTGAGTTGGTGGGAGTGAAACGTTTCACGTTTTTTCCTGATATCTCTATGACATCTGTAGCTTTCGAGGAACTACACGAGGCTGCATTAGGACGGCAACTTGGGCAAATGTACCAGAACCATGGGCATGGGTTCTTACGCATAAAATCGTAATATACCTTTGGTACTCCGGTGTCACATCTACAATGTACCCATTGCTTACAAAAGTTACATTCGAAAGCAGAATCTGCTTGTTCGACAATAGAATTGCAGACCTTGCAATCGTCTGCCTTCTTGGGGAACGTTTTCGTCGTCTTGCGACGTCGTGAACGTTTCTTATTGGCCTTCCTGTTTGTTTCAAGGCCTACTGTGGATATAGGTGTCATACTATTCACCTGTTTGCTTAGTTTGGCTGAAGCTCTGGTGACTACGGTGCATGGTCTCCCATTACTTATCTTGGGATGAGAATCTATAGTCATTTT